ACAAACCAGATAAAACAGTCCAACTTTGCTAAAAATTATATGATGTTGAAGTGCAAACGATTAAAAGAACAAGTAAAATCAATTGATATGACATCCAAAGGAATTTGGCAATAAATCATGTGTGTATGATAGATTATCTTTTGGCAAAAGAAGATTTGAAGAATTTCTTACGATAGATTTTCTGAAAACTAGAATCGGTATACCTAATTGGAGCTTTCAGCACTCCCCTCTATACTAGCCATAACTCAAGCCTACGACCGAGCAATCCCGTCCTCACACTAGCTAAGATGTGTATAAGAGACAGATATATAACGATTGAACGAGAAGAGGGTAAATCCTGGCGCCACCCCTGACGAACAGCCGACGCCGAAGGCACTGTGGGTGTACCATTCACGAAATATTATTTCGAGGGAACGAAATAATAATTCGAGGGAACGAAATGTTATTTCGAGGGAACGAAATAATATTTGAGGGAACAAAATAATATTTCGAGGGAACGAAACAATATTTCGAGGGAACGAAATGATTTCGTTCCCTTTGAATTATCTACCGAAGACTATGTTAAGAACCGCATGAAAAGATGTTTCAGAAGGGCTTATACACTCTTTGGTTTTGGGTGTGCCCCCATTTCTGTTGAAACTGGTAGATACAAAAACATCTGCCTCGACCAAAAAATTTGCCCACTGTGAGACTCTAATTTAATTGAAGACGAATTTCATTGTTTTATGGTTTGTGAATTTTATGATGCATACGTTCTGATTTGTTTAATAAAATTAATAATAGGCCTATCGATCAATTATTTTCCAACTTACTTGAGATGCAAAAAATTACGTATATGTTCTCTAACGGTAACCTTTTTCATGTTGCTAAATTTGCTTATATGATTTTGGAAAACGTAAAGGGTTTTTATTTAATCTTAATTAGCCCTACAGTATGATGTATTTTGCTGTTAACACTCTGTACTTTACTTTTCAGTTGTTCTATTACATGTTGTCTCTCATAAGCCAAGCATGGTTGGCCTTTGTTTGAGGGTGAGACTTTAATAAATAAATACTTTACTTTCCATATACATATTTTTTGAAATATCAAACAGTCCAAGATTTGATACTCCCATGCAGATTAAATTAAATCGCAGTCAATTACTTCAAAAGTCAGAGGTCCCAGAATTATATGCACTAGACTATTTAATCAGAAGAGACTGTAGCACAAGACATGCGCAAACTACTTTTTTGTTCACTATTTTTTATTTTTTTCATAAAATATTAGAGTTGAACCTACTTCATTGGTATTTTTACCATAGCCCAGTTTATAGTTAATTTAGTAACTTTTTTATGATTAATCCACACATATGTAAAATGATTAAAATCATAAACTATACAACTGACGAACAATAAGTGAAAACGAATGAAAGAAACTAGTAGCCTTATTTCGGCAATCAAATGTATACGTATAGCTACTACATCCTGATTCTCTTTTAAAAGGCTGAACAAACGAGCTTCCCCACCAAATGGCAATACCAAAACATATTGTGGGATTGGGACAACGTATCAAAGGAAAAACCTTGAACACTGTTTGTTTCCTACTCTTTGCTAATGGTTAGAGTTTCAATCATAAATAATGACAGAATCAAAGACACAGGTTAACAATTACAAACCAGATAAAACAGTCCAACTTTGCTAAAAATTATATGATGTTGAAGTGCAAACGATTAAAGAAACAAGTAAAATCAATTGATATGACATCCAAAGGAATTTGGCAATAAACCATGTGTGTATGATAGATTATCTTTTGGCAAAAGAAGATTTGAAGAATTTCTTACGATAAATTTTCTGAAAACTAGAATCGGTATACCTAATTGGAGCTTTCAGCACTCCCCTCTATACTAGCCATAACTCAAGCCTACGACCGAGCAATCAATCTTGCATTAAGACCCGTCCTCACACTAGCTACGCCACAGGGCTACTTACTATCAAGTACGAACGTATTATTATCACGTACTGCGCAAAAATGCCACGTTTGTACGTATTACTATTAGTGGTGTATCAGAAGTCTTGAAATTATATAGTAGTGCTGATAGGGGCTCGAAGGTGTAGTGGGGGATCGATGTTCAGTTGAAGGGCACTCGCAAAATAAAACTTGCAAGTGATTTTTCTGGGGGTGACTGGGGAGGGACTGCACCCCTAGATATGCCTATGATTCAGCATCAGTGGCGGCTCTACGATATAATTTATGGGGGGGGGGGGCTAAGATGTCCAACTGGGCGGCCCCCCTAAGTATTTATGGGTGTAACTATAGTGCACAGCGTTATCTGAGGGCCGAAGGCCCGTGCCAGGGGTGGGTATTGGAGGGGAATGTTCCCTCCTTCCAAAACAAGATTATTTTTTAGATTGGGACTTCTAGATGGTCGGAAATGACTGGGATGGGAAAACTAGGCCTATTTTTTGTTTTCTTCTGGTCTGACTGCCCGGCGAGCTTTGGCCGATGGGGGAGGGGGCTTGACCAAACCTATGGGGGATGGGGCTTAAGCCCACTTGTCCCCCCCACTGGCGCCGCCACTGTTAAGCATACCCAAAATATCCAGAAGGTGCAATAAAATTGCTTTGGGAAGCTACCTCGCTACCTCGCGAAAGAACCAGGGGAGGATTTAGGGGAGGAGGGGAGGGGATCAACCGGCCCGCCCCCCCCCCCCCCGGTTAAAAAAGGAAAAAAAAAATGATAGCCCAGAACGCCTCAAATGCTATTTTCAGACGTCAAGAACACAAAAAGTGCAGTGTTGTCTCGATCGGCCCAACTTTCGACCCCACCTTTTGGACATCTCTGGATCCGCTCCTGAGGACACTAGGATCCACATTAATTAGAAAAAAAACAAAGGCCCAGTAATTCGAAAAAAGAGACCCTTAGTGGATCTCTGTTTTCGAGTGGGTCTCCGGACTTGAGTCTCCGTTTTCGAGGTCTCTGTTTCGAGACACCCGACAGTAAAATGTACTTATTATACTTAGGCCTACTTTCCCTACATTAAAACAAGTAGGCCTATATTGATATTTACTATTATTATCAAAAAACAAAAAAACACACAATTAAGTTATCCAACCTTTAGTAAAGCGGCTCATCTGTGATAATTTTGCGCAGTTCCAAAAAGTTGATTCCCTGGGTTTGTCTTTAACGTCGAACAGGGGGCTATTCTTGTGTATAAACCAGTCACATTACAAATCATGAAAGACAGGACAAACCATGGCGGAAACCCTTGAGGAAACTGTTTATTTCACTGAGCAGATACTCGAGTGGTACAGTATGGAACGCCAAAATGACAAATCATAAGCTGCACAGTGCAAAACTCGTTTGGGTGCAGTTCAAAAACGCGAGTGACAGTGCAGAATTCGAGTGCAAAACTCCATTGAGTAGGCCTATAGCACGGAACAATACGTGTTTCGCACTGTTACTTGAGTTTTATGGGGGTGCCATACGCAGCAAAAGCCCATTTTAAAGTGAAAATGTAATTGCAAAATGCAATGTATAATTTATCAAAACGTAAGCGTAAATTTCTGTTCCAAACTCCTGAGTTAGGCACTGAGACTTATACGTGATACCTACACCAAAAGGACAGCGTAGAATTGGCAGTGCAAAACTCCCTCATTTTCAATGAATGTTTCATGTTTACTGTAATATGATGATGACGACAATGAAATAATACTGAATAACAATAAAATTATAATTGCCTACATTCAGTTAATTATTTAAATACATTATATTTCTTCTTATATTTTTTTAGTAACTTGGAAAATTTAGGGGCCCAGTCTGACTACTCCCCCTTTCTTTGAATCCTCCACTGATCTACAGTGGTTAATGGCATTTGTTAAAAAACTGCACATAGTGATAGGCCTACCCATCGGCACTGACAATTGATAAGATATTGAAAATATGCAAATATTATGAATTTGCGGGAGACGGGTTATTTCCGGGAGATGCTTGTTTGCTTGCGTGAGTGCGGAAGGTCGTTCCGACTTTCGGGAGCCTCCCGCGAGTTCTGGAACGCTGGTTGAGATCCTAGGCTCCCTGAAACGGGCTTAAAATAGCAGCTTACGATCGAAAAACGAGGTCGACTTATACGTCTTAAAACTCGAACAACATGTAGCAGGCAGGAAACTCTATTATTTTCATTTACGTTCGGAGTAAAAACTTAAATTTCCAACTTTGTTCGAATACTATGTTCGAATTTTATGATGATCCATTCATTCATTAGTTTTTGTGTAGTCTTGCAGACATTGGTGAAGGAAATAAGAAATTGCACAAAGTAGACATTCAACACAACGGTACTTCTCTGAGCCTTTAATGATATGAACTATGAGATAATGACATCACGCATGTTATTGTTTTAATCATGATAGATAACACATCTCATTTTAACACTCGGCACATATTCATTAAACACTTAACTAATCCAAAACCTACAGTGTTCATTATAGAAACAAGTCAGCGCAATTAACCATGAATTCTTGGAGTTTACTTTTTTTGTCTGTATTCTGTTGAAGAGAATCTTGTGAAGATTAGAGGCTTTAGGATTTGAATTGGTGGTGAAGTATCACCAATGTTGGAAACAATACACATTATAATAACACTATTGATATGCGATTGATCAATATAAACAGGACAGAAATAAGATAAACAAAAACAAAACAAAACAAAAAAAAAAAAAAAAAAAGCCTGTTATACTTACGTACCTGCAAAGTATATTGCATTGGGAGATGATATACAGTAATCGCTCATTTTAGCGTTAAAGCTTTTAAAAAATTGCTGCTTTTAAAAACTTTTGATGCATTTAAGATGTACTATAGTTTGGTTGACAAGAGCTGATTTACACATAGATAACTATCTTACATATATTCATATTAATAGAATTACAATATAGCTAAGCCTGATTCAACATGTCATTTCATGAGTATACAAATTGCACTCAATAACCAATCAATAACTGTTATATACATATTTTTTTTTCAATATAATGAACTTAAATTATTTTAATATAATATAGATGAATGGCTGCAAAAACACAGTATAAGTGGCGTGCATATTGCAAACACTGTGAACATGTACATATATAATAAATTTCATATACTGAAATACATCTAAGATAGATGAAAGAATACACACAATCAGCCCCATAACAAAAATGTATAAAATAAAAAAATCCTATAGAATTAAACTGTATTTGTAAGGATATAGGTGGGTAAAATCGTACACGAGTGGAATGTTAAAACACTGAAGCTTTTATGAAAACGAGAAATGGAATTTTTATATACAGTAACTTTTTCAAATGTAAATTAAATTGAAAAAGCATAATTATAATAAAGACAAACATCAAAATGAATTATCATTAAATTCATCAAGTTTGAGAAATTTTAATAACTCGCTCGACAGTTCAATTTTATGTTATGTATTAAGACTGTAAAATAATAAACAATAATAAGTAGATTGATAATAAAAATATTAAATTGGTTTTTTTTGTATATTTAGGAAGTACAAGAATTATAAAAATAATAACATTGTATAAGAATGTCATTTCTCCATAGCTCAAAACAAACTGGAATAAATGTAAAATTGGTTCCAAGTATACATAACCAAATTCCTCTTGAGCAAGTCGCTGAGAGGAACTCATTTACTTAATAATAAGTAAGTATTCATTAGAAAATAATAATAATAATAATAATAATAATAATAATATATAAAAATTAACAATAATAGGAATGCAGTGATATTAATAATAACAATACTAATAATAAAATATATAAAAATATATAATAAAAATAAAATAATAAAAACAAAAATAAAAACAAAAATAAAAAGTAATATATAAGTAATTATAGAAATATTTAATTTCCAGCAACCAACATCCTGAGTTGTTATTTGAAATTAGAGTTACTTATTAACAACAAATTAACATTTTTTTAATGCTGTAAAGTAAATTTAAGCACCCATGAAGAAAAGGGAATGAACTACTTGGTGGAGAAATTTAGACTGGACTGATAAAAGAAATCTTACATCCTTAATTTGTTTTGATTTAATGAAACAAATTATTGTTATTGTCTAGCACCAGAAGTTATAGAAGTAATCTTTTAAAATGAAGGAAGAAGTATAAAAATCATAATTATTTATTTAAGCCATATTTATAGAGGATATGGAAACTGGCAAAAAAGATAATTTGCATTTTTCGTTAAATTGGTCAAAAACTGTTACATACTTATGGACAATATTATAACTTTTAAGGTAACATATTGATTCTATGCTATAATTGTATGCATCATGCATAAAAAATTCATACACAAAATTAATCTGATTTGTATGAAATTTTTTTAAATATCTGAACAGGAGATAAAGTTGTGTTAGGCTTATTCTAGAAATCAATCTCATGCATGAATATTCATGACAATTAATCGTGTATATATGAATATTCAAGACAATCTTGTATATATGAATATTCAAGACAATTAATCTTGTATATGAGTATTCATAACAATTAATCTTGTATATGAGTATTCATGACAATTAATTTTGTATATATGAATATTCAAGACAATCTTGTACACATGAATATTCATGAAAATTAATCTTGTATATGAATAGTCAACATATTATTCTAATAAATAAGACATTAATTAATAGACAAGTAATAATTACATTTACATTAATATTATTTTAAAAAATTATTATGGTGTGAACAATTAGTTGCAAAATTAAACAAGGAAATAATCACAATTACACTAAACAATGTATAAATCAAAACACACAAATTTACAATCACTTAAAGAAAATTAGAATTAATTTGATTTAAGAGGTAATAATTTCCACCCAGAAACTAGATAAAAAAAAAATTAAATAAATGTTTGGGTGGAAACATAAAAATTGAAACAGTATTTATTTATATAAATAGCTTTGTAGGTTATTTATGATAGTGTACTGTCGACATTTGATCTGGTCATTCTTTTTTATACAAATCACAGTATTATATATTAAACATGAATCAAACATTGAGCAATATTTACATATGAACTCTTGACCTATTTTCTGTATATTTTTACTTACAATATAAGGAGTTTAATCAATTCATCATAATAAATATTTAAGCTTCAAAAGAGTACTCACTATAAGCAAAAATGATTTTGGATGTAAATGGCAAACATTGTTCGAGCCTTGATTTTAGTAGTGCAGCAAACTAAAGGGCACACTCGCAACATATTTTCAAAGGTGCGTACAGCATCATAGCCTCGAAAAAATAAAGATGGTATGGAACAGATGGGAAAAAGTAATGGGCTGCTATATTTAACAACTATTACAGCCAGAATTCATGAAAAAAAAAATGCATAATAAACTGACTCAGTCAATGAATATTCAAATGAAATGCTATATTTTTGGGTATTTTTTTTTCTGAATTTACATATCTTTATATCTAGCAATTTAGAATGCATACTTGGACCACATACATCATTTATTGATTCATAACCTTACATTTTACAATGTATATCTATATATATATATATATTTATATAATATATGGGTACTTATAATTAATATATTTGACATCTTTATAGTCATAACAAGATATTTTCATATACCTGTTTGCTCATTGCGATTTTTTTTTTTTTGCTTTATACAGCATGCAAACCCAAATATCCAGGATTTTAAATTAATTTTGCTGAACCTCACAAAATCAACAAAACAAATTGGTTATGTGACTTTAAATCCTTAAATTTTATTATGTTTATTCTCTATATGCCTAAACTAAAACTGTTGATATTAACGAGAAGACTAGTCTACGGATTATCATTCACATGGTTTCACGTTACAGTAACCTATTTAACGGATGTACATTAAATAACAACAAAGCATCTTCGTTGTTTGATATTTCTAATGACAAAACTGTAACATAAAAATGTTGTTTTTATTATCTTAGCTAAAAATACACAATCAGAATTATCATTATTTTTTTTGTGATACTTTTTGTTATTTCTAAAACTGTGTTGATTATTATGTTAGTTGATAGGTTGAAAACTTGATAAAAACATATGTATCATCACAAAAAAAGTTACAAAAAAGTGGGGAAGAGGCTACAAAATTATTACGCATTTTTTAAATATTTTTAGCCCCATTATAATGTCTATGTATTTCTATGAAACCATCTTTTCATACCTATCTTTTTGGTATGTTTTTATAATTTTTTTTCCTTTTCTTTTTTTTGCCTTTGTGGATTGTCTTCTACCTTTTTTATGTATCATTTTAACTCAACAATAAATTGTATAATAAATTGATATGTTGAGATCTCTGCTAATAATTATCTAATTAAGAGTTGCTTCTAATATTTTACTTGGAAGTGATCCACTTATAAATCAAATGCATATGTACAATGAAAACCATTAATAAATGTTAAAAATATTTAAGTTTCTATGTAGATGTTTCGATCTAAAATGTTTTAGTAAAAAATGAAGAAATGAATAATACTGCACTGCAAAATGAATGGGTACACATCACTGTTGTGACTTTCAAAACTCTCACTATTAGAAGTATTATTTTCATATACTTTACATTAATTTGCACGAATAAATATAATAAATCTATAAATTAAGATAAATTTTAACAACAATTAAATCATAATTTGGTTTCAGGAATGGTTAGGGTATGAATGAGGTCACACTTTACAATACGGAAGTGCCAATTTCAAAGCAGCTACCACATATAACAAGTGATATATCAGCAGCTTCTAAAACAAGACAATCTAAACACACTTGCCTATTGCACTTAAACTCCGATGAGTTCCAATACTACGGTTGTTGTACAAGCAAAGCCTACAATCATATTTCATTTTACTCATACATTTTTGCTTTTTAAAATCAAGTTTTTGATTTACAAATTTTTTGTTTATCTGCACCAGCATTTTTTTTTTTTTAGCCATCTTGTCCAAAGATATGCTCAGATTTTAGATATTATTTTATCAGGTGCGTTATCAATAATAAAACCATTTATAGTGCATTAAACCATCATCTGGAAATATGAACTTGAACATAGGTTATTTCATCATCGGTTGCTTTAAAGATCTCCACATTTCTCTAGCAAGGAAAACCGATTAAGCTTAAAAAATGTGCTGGAATTCATCAAAAAAGCCTTGAACACTTGATGTTGCTCTTTCACACTGCCCTCAATTAGCAAACTGAATGCTGCCCTCATTTGGCAAACTGAATGCTGCCCTCAATTAGCAAACTGAATACTGCCCTCAATTGGCAACTGAATACTGCCCTCAATTAGCAACTGAATGCTGCCCTCAATTAGCAAACTGAATGCTGCCCTCAATTAGCAAACTGAATGCTGCCCTCAATTGGCAACATAATGCATCCTCCATGTCACCTTTTCCACATATTTTTTGGCCTTTGTGTGTGTGAATGCATTTCACAGCTGATACCATTTCTTATTTTTTTGTTTCTTCATAAGTTCACTAGCTGCCATTGCAAAGCTTTCAGCATTCTGCATCATATCAGCTGTCCTCTTTTCTGTTTCACTTAATTTTTCTCCTCTCTTAATCAATTCCTGTATTTAGAAATTGTAAATATTTGTCATTTAGTTTCTTAAAAGAATTATTTACACACACACTTAAAATTATATTTTGCATAACAATAGATAAAAATATTATAACTGATGTTTCCTTCAACAAGTATTAAGAATAACTAATAGTAAAGTTGCTAAGGTTGAATTTTAGTTAAATATGTGCACTTTATGGACTTCCCATAATGGTACGATATCTAAAAAGCATTAAAAAAAAAAAACATTAACCTCAAAAAAAAACAAAAAACGATATCTAGTGGCCGCCATCTTTTACAATAATTTATCAGTATTCTGAGAAATTGAGGTAGTCCAGGTACAATGTAGCCAAAAATGTGTTGAAATCTCGTTGGAAAACTCATTTTTCTGTATACTGAACAACACATAGGCCTATTTATCGGTCTAATATTTTTTCCCCCTCTATTTCTGTATGTCTGCAATTAGGACGAAGTTCTATATAAGGATCAGATTAACATAGGGGCTTTTGGGGCGCCAGCCCTATGTCCTATAGGGATTTTTGGGGCACAGCCCCATGCCCACAGTCCCCAATGAGGATAAATAGGCCCCCAAACCCCTGGAAAGGTCACCGAAAATCTGGTTTTATGTTTTAGCCAGTATTTAGGCTCATTTGCAATAACAGCCGCCGCAGGCCCCATAGCCCTTTAAACCAGCCCTGCATAAATTTGCAGATTTTTGGAACTGAGCAAGCATACTGGCTTATAATTAAAAGTTCTGAAATATATGTAGGTGACTATGATGGGATAAAATTTGTTAATTAGTAAGGAAATAAAGCAATTATAGATTTTTTGGACAGGAAATGAGTGACTATGCTCAAAAACAGGGGTAATCTGTGCATGTATCTAGTTTACGTACAAGTTTCGTGCGAGCTATTTCTCCACCAACAGTTGCGGACTGCGCTTTGACAGCCTCCATTCCAGCTGATCCCGGTACATGTTTGGCAATGCTTCTAGAAGGCTTTCCACTGTTTTCTCCAACTGTTAACAAAACATATTTTTTAGATTAACACAACAATACAGGGAAAATTTTTGGCATCGCATGGAAGGAATTTGCTCCTGAAAAATGGTGACAGACCATGGCATGTTCCAATGCAACATAGTAGCAGTGGATCGTTGATATCTTAAGTAAATCGATAATTGAAATGTCACTACAAGTAATAAGATCCATGAGGTGTTTCTACCCTTTAGAAATTTTCCTGATTTCCAACCATCTTTTGGGACATTAGGCCTTTCTCTGGTAATTGTTCTTTAATTGGATTATAATCATAGCTTTTGTAATTTATTGTCTATGCAAGGTCAGCTATACTATACTATACCATAGGTATGCCTATGTGATTTGTTGACAACTTGCTGGAAAACTAATTAACATTTCGGCTCTCTCTTTTGATATTGAGTTTGATTGTCAGTTAAGGTCAGTGCAAAGTGAGGTTCCTGAACCCGTCAGAGCTATTGCTGAAACGGGTATTGTGGTAAAGGGAATGGTAACAGCATGTAGAGTAAAGTTGTCATATTATTGTTTGTCACTATAGCTAAACCTCTATTCACACTATCAAGATTTGTGACAAAAGTGACAAATATCACAGAACCCAAATATGGACATGATATAATGTCATATCACCTTCATATGGGCAAATACAGTAATCACTGTGTGCATTCTGAATGAGGCCATGCCTAAAGCAGCATCAGTGACAAAAAATGACAATTGACTTTTTAATATATTCTTATTCTCAACATTGTAAGCTTTAAAATGATGGGTCACTTACTGGCATCGATTTACTATTGCCAAAATTATGAGTAAAAGTATTATGGATTCTGTGTAGTAAAGTATACAATACTGGCCCATTAATTACTCAGTTTTCAGGCCTTGTATATGAAACCTATTTTATAAGTAAACTCCAATATAAATTTTATCTTGTAGGCTACAAGAATGCATGTTTTATGTTCTGAAGTTGATAAATAATAGATTTTAATGTTTTTGCGAGAGCATTTTATAATTTACATTTCTTTTCACTGTTCTTTTAACTTTTAATTTTGTGTGAGAGTAGGTATATTTTAAAGTCATATTGTGAACTTGAAAATCTTGGAGTACTTACAGAGCTCTTGACGATCAAGTGAACCTGAACTGACACTGAAGAGGTTTTTGAAGAAACCCCTTGAAGGAGCTTCTGGTGTGGTGCATGGTATAAACAGATCGCCAAGCATATCATGCAGACTATTGCTAAAAAAAAAAAAAATAGTTACTAAGATATCACCTAAAGTTATAGTTCAGTTTTGTTTTAAAAAAAAAAATTAACAGAAAAATAATACAAATAGTTAAATTATTAAATAAATTTACTGCATCCGAATTATGTTAATAAAGTATTTAATTGCATAAATCTGCATAAAAATTAACATACCTATGCTCTGCACAAACTGTCAAGCGTTGGATCTCAGTAGGACTGCACTGGTACAGGGCCTTTCCATGAGCACTAAACTGGAATGTTCTTCCCACTCTGATAAACAAACCAAACACAAGTACACAATTTTGAGATTTAGAGGTTAATTATTCCAGATATCATAACTCTGTGCCACTTGGGTTTGTTCTTGTTTTTTCATTTATTTACCTCAAATAAATTAAAATCAAATCAAGTGTTCGCATGTTAATGATAAAACAGGTTTTTTTTTAATTTAGTGTATTAAAAACATCTGATGTCCAAACATTGAGCTAAACATGGTTCAGCATTCAAAATGATCAAACACCTATTACGTGCCTTACTACATACAGAAGCCATATTTTTTTTTCCTGTATCCTACATCCTACAGATTTTGTCTTCAGCTTCCAATTGAAGATCCCCTCAAATTGGAGACCACTTCTCAAAAGTACAGAGGTTACCAATTTCTAACTTTTCGTTATTGTTCGTTTTCCCTGGTCATTGGGTCCACATGCTTAAGTGCTGCTCCACATATTTGCACTGTAGCAAGCAACCCCACAAGGTATCCAGGCCATCCAAAATTATCAACATTTTCAAAAAGGTACAAAACATAAGTTTTAGGAGGGAAGGGGTTAAATGTGTATGCATAAGTACTCTTTTATGAAAAAGATAAAATGTTGATCTCAAAATGACACAAATGAACATTTTTTTGCGTACTCTTTCAGGGGGATGGAGGGGGTCGCAGAAAATGTTTTGTGTTGAGAATTATGGATGAGCCCTTATACTCCAGGATGGACATAAATAATGCAGATAATGTGCCTTGCTAACTATCTTGAAAAATGTATTGGCAATGATCGTACATCTAACCTTAGCTTGATTCTACAGTACGTTAGACCTGTGAGGGGGTACAGACCCTGGGCTAATTGACATACCTTAAATCTGTGAGGGGTACAAAGTCGCAATCCAGAAGAATTCGTAGACTGGGTAAGCTGTAGATCATTACGTGTCCATTTGCAACGTAACACGCTAAGCATAGTTCTTTGTCTGTGGGAGATAACACGGTTAATATTCCAGTCAAAATATTATGTTACGCCCTGTCCAGACTATCAAATTTGATTTGACAAAAACATGTGACATGCCTAAATATGGTCATGATGACATCACATCATGACCATATATAGACACATCATGACTATATATGGGCATACAATAGTTTTTTGTCAAAATAAATTTTTAAAACCTGGATAAAGCTTTATACTTCTCAAGAAGCCTAGGTTGCAATGCAGATGGGTAAACAGGGTTGTCCTGTAGATTAGGAAAACAATGATCTATTATTCACCATGCGGAATTTTAAGAGTATGTGGGCTTTAGAGCATATGTGAGCGAGATTTTATATCAACACATTGGATTTGATTTCTTCAGTGAGAAACATATCTAACAGATCTCACAAAAGTCTGAAAAGATACTGTTAGTTGGGTCTTTTTGATGCTGATTTGGGCAATATATTTTAAGACAATTTCATTAATATAGTGTCCTACGTTATTTAACATGCTTATGGGCTATAAGGCAAACAGGACCAATGGTTTTAAGGTCTTCCAAAAACATGGTGCGCTAATAAAAACTGTATTCCTGCTGAAAAGCAAGATCAACAAAGCAAGGAACAAAAGGTCTAAATAATTTCCAAGGTTCAGCGCACCACTAGTTGCTCTGGCTATGCTTGCAAACAAGAACAGTAGATAAAGTTAAAGTTACAGTAGTATAGTACGAAAAAAAAAAATTTAAACATTGACCTGGCTGTGTACTTTTTTTCAATTTTTTATTGTTGGTTGTGATTGCTGTGTTTTTCTTGTGAATCTGTATTCTTCTGTTTCTTGTCCTGTTTAAACCCCTCCACCCTTATTTTTAATCAACCTAATTGTATATTGAACTATTAATAATTAATAATAATTTTATAATAATTGTTAATAACATTATATTGTAAATGTAATCTATTTTAGTACAAACTTTCAAACTACTTGAATTGTAAATAAAATAATTATAATTAATGATAATTTCTAATCAAGTGTAATAAGTATTTCTTATATTTTTTGCAATCTTGTTTTTGTTGTGGTCCATGGTCCTCTTCTTTTCTTAATCAAATTTTAACTTTCGCAAATCTTTTGTAGTTAAGAAAGTTATATTTTTGTACTGTTTTTCTTTAATCATTTTCTAAGATGGAATGACCAGCTGAGAGCCAGTTTCTTTTACCTGTAGTCATTCCTTGTCATCTTGGATTTTGATATGTATATGGTTTCAAATAAGGGGAAAAAAATAATAGGAGATACAGAAGGCAGGAGTACTGCAGAGTAGTAGTAGTAGTAGTAGTAGCAGCAGCAGTAGTAATATAGTGGCAGTAGTGGAAAAGTAGTATAGTGGTTGGAGTAGCAGAGCAGTGGTGGTAGCAGTAGTAGTAGTAGCAGCAGCAGCAGTGGCAGCAACGGTAGCAGCAGCAACAGATGCCCAGCACCTACAGTAGCAACAGTAGTACTGGTAGATGCTATCGCTTTTTTCCTTGCAGAGGTTTACTATAATACCTCCATGCAGAGACAGACTGATAATTGTATTATTCTCAATGACTTACTAGGCATGCTTATGACATCAGCTACCACCACATATGATGACTCAGCAATTTTGGCCCTGTAAGCACAGGTCTGTGAGGACAAGGATATAACCTGCAAATGCACAAGGTAGGTTAGTGGCCACACAATGTGAGGTTAATGAAAGATTAGTAATGTCAAGAGGTATAGTTTTATTACTCTACCATCCTTTAGACACAAACTGCATCATACTGTTGGCAGATTAATCTATCTTCACTCTCAATCAGCACTTGACAACGCGACACAGTCTGTGGCACTGGGCGAGTGTTTTAGTAGCTTTTACCATCCGTGCTACTGGGTCATGTTGGTATATACAGTACATTGACTGTTTTCTATTCATCATATTTTTCTAACAATGTGATAGGTTTAGACAGTTGATATAACAATGTATAACATACTAATGGATTTTTACTCTATCTATGGTATTCATGCAATTTTAACCTACTATTAAATAAGGGTATTGTGAGTCAAAACCATTTCTCATCCTACTCTGTGAGATTTTAAAAACATGCACAAGTTTTGATATGTACATAGTAATGACAAACCTAGTATGAAGTATGAAAAAAATTGCACTGTATCATCAATAACTAGCTAAGGCTAGCAATTGGCGATATACAAGGCCTTTTTGTGAGGTTGGATTGTCCAACCAGACTAAACCTATCTTGCATTATTTCAACTGCGTGCATATTTAGGTCCTGGTAGACGGCGCTGCAATATAGAAGTAAATACACAAAGCATCACAAGCCACTCACACAAATGTCATCAATGGATATTTATATGTTTTACAGACAGTTAAGGATGAGTTTTACAACATTATTAACCTAGTAAACAATGCGTGTAATTGGACAAACCTTGGCTTCTTTTTCAGAAGTAATGATGGCAAATTGCCTATCAGCCATTTCTGTTGAAGCTGATGGGGACATTCGACTGCGCTGTTGAATTACCGGTTCTGTTGACACCAAAATTAGATAGATTAATTAATAAGCACAAAAAAAGTGACAAAAGTTTTATGCTTTTGTCATGATGCTTTTGTCAAACATGCGACTTGACACAACTCAAATCAACTGTCCTTAACAACTGGCGGGAAAACAATCATCTTCACCGACAGTTTTAAGTCACAACTTAAGGCACACTTTTTTTAATAATATCTTTTTTTGCAATGGCACCACAAGCAAAAACAAGCAACAGTTTTGTACTCTGGTCTGTTAACTGAGCTGTGTAAAACTTTTAACAATATAACAGACTGAGATAATCAACATACAGTTAGCGGCAATATAATATACAGGCTAGTAGGCTATCCCCTAGTCATATATTTAAGATTGGTGTATTATACATGTTTGGTTGACTTTTATTACTTCACCACATTTTTACTTTAATTTAAGTAATAACTTTAGAACCCCACAACAAAAAAAAAGCAAATGATTTTATCATCAAATGTTTTGAGGACTCAATTGAAAGTGTGTACATACTTTTCTTTTCTCTCTCCCCTTCTTTTTGTTCATAATTCATGTCTTTCCATGCTTCGGTGCTGGCAGTAATAAGTCCTCCATTACTGTTTAGAAATGCGATATTCAATATAGTTCCCTTCATGCAAAGCACAGTTCCTACGATCAAATAATATAGTAAATGTGTACTTAATATATGCAGAGTAAGAAGATAAGAAACTTAGGTAAATGATAGAGGGCAGCATATAACTACACTTTACTTAAAACAATAGGTGGCAGTAAAAAAATTCACATAATTATTTGTGAACCTTGAACTCAGTGTGGAACAAAAACTCTTGCATACCTAATCTGGTAGCCCTAACACTTATGGAAAAATATGTTTTTGACAAGATATTTTGGGATAGTTTACAGGCAGTCCAACAAATATTATTCAACATAAATAAGACTAGCTTAGGCATCTACAAGAACAAAGTTGTGCACCAGTCACAGAGCACAGATAAGAACTGGTAACTGCGTGGAGTGAAATACCGGGATGTCTCCCAGTGGGAGTTGCCAGGTTTTCAGAAATTTTAATTTAAAATTGAGCAAAAATGGTGTATACTGAGTACTGCTCACTCTGTTGACAATTTTTGAAACTATGTCACAACTCCATTTAGCAAATATATATCACAAACACTATACATTTAATTGTCAATCAAAGAATAATAACCGGTTAGATGAGCAATTCACAGAAGAAAGAGAGATAAATAAAGCCTTTGCAGGTAGTGCCAGTTGATAGAGGGCAGCAGACACATAATACATACCACTTGGAGAGACAATGACTGGTTGAGAGATGCGCTGGTCTCCTGGTGGCGGTAGAGTTAGCACAATAACCAATGTAGACCCAAGAGTTGTTCCAACCCACAGACATGGGCTCGTTAAAGAATCTAATAAAAATAATGCGAATCATTAAAAACATATTACATACAGAAATTAAAATATCAGAACCAAATAACATCTGCATAAATAAAAAGTGCCTATGATTTAAATAATGCCGAAAAGAATGATTAGAAGACCCTCATTGCATTTACCTATATTGCTTATTAAACTAAAGAAATTGTAGCTTTTACAGATATGGTATGTTATACCACCACTAAAATTTTTCTTTTGTTTTAATATAATTCTTAATTTTCCTTTGGTTCTTGTTATATGTTTGTTAATGATCAGATCCGGCTGGATGGACCACCCTCACAAAATATTTTTGAAATAAATAAACAAAAATAGTAGCTTAAATAAACTGATGATACTACTAGGCAATGAAATACCAGATCAAATTCTAAAACTACTTCATTTAGAATCATATTTAAGTCTAAAAAAAAGCAATAAAATAAAATTTAAATCCATATTTCGATAATCACAGTTTTGTAATTGTTTATAAATTATTTGGCATTTAAATCCTCTTGTCATCTCACTTAATCACAGAATCTTCATATGTAATCAATATATTTCTAAATATTGTAGAGTACTGTATATAGAAAATTTGTTTAACTAATTCAATTTAATACCTAATTAATTGACAGGTAACTATTTTATACTATAGTTTGATATAAACTACAATCTGAACAATAGAAATAATAATACTAAGTATTAAGAATTATAATTACACTATTTAATTCGTTTCACCTTGAATTAAATCATGTCTTTTGATAACTTCATACCATGATTTAATTGATAAAACACTAAACCGAAAACGAGTATAAAAATATCAATAATAATTAATAACATTAATATTAATTTAACAACAATGAGATTTATAACAATGATGATGATGGCGGTGGTGATGATAATAATGATATTGATAATGATGATGATAATAATGATGATGAAGACAATGGTAATAATGATGATGATAAATGATGATGATGATGATGATGACGTTAATGACGATAATGAAAAATAATGACTATAATGACAATGACAATAATGATCATAATGATGATGACAATGGTGATGATTATCTCATTGATGACAATAATAATAAAAAATAATAATAATAATAATATATATTGTTATTTCTGTTAAAATTGAAGCAGCATTCCCTTGAATCCAATAAAATATTTTTTCAAACTCTTCAACGAAAATCTTAAAAACATCCATAAAAAATAAAGTAAACCAAAAATACAGAAAAAAAGTGAAAACAATGAATAATTTTTGTGAATAGGTCAAGTAGTGAGCTCGGTGAAGAAAGATAAAAAAATTGTTCAAAAAGAAACATTTCAAAAGAGATAGCTAAAGAGCAAGATCCTATACCAGACACAGAAGAATGCCAGCAAAGATGGAAATATCACTTGAAATATAGTGCACTCATGCACAGTTTGTTGATAAAAGCCACAAGAAAAAAATAAAAATAAATAAATGAAAGATATACAGAAAATATAATCTAAAACTGCACAACGTAGGAACGCATGGTCAAAATCAGAGACTATAGAACATATGAGCTAAAATTGTATGTGCTTGAGTAATTATGTATAGAAAAAAGTATAGTTAAAATGCAGATTGTAGGCATAATGAGGATAATAATAATATTATTAAAGATATTCATCAGTACCATTCTTTCGACAGAAAAGATACAAAAGTGGTGATTCCTCTAGTGAGACCTCTTTAAAGGTTCTACTTACATTTTTCCGTTTCTGGTATAACCTGTCCGGTTACAGGGTCTATGCAGTATAGGAGGGGTGAAAATGCTCATAGGTAAGGAAGGCAGTTGGACAAAAAAGCAATATAATAAAAGAAAATCCTATTCAAAAAAAAAAAAAAAAAAAAAAAAAAAAAAAAAAAACACCACACGCAAACATACGCACTATACGCAGGCATATCCACAAACACGCGACAAATATATGCGCACACCAGACAATCTCATATTCGCGTATTCCATCGCACACACTGACAGCAAGTATAGAAACAATTTTTTTTAAATGTTACAAGAATTAGAGATTATACCAAAATGGTAAATAATACATTTGACATGAAATTACATAAAGCGAAGCACTTGGCACCAACATCCAAAATTGGAATTAAAAGAGTTTATTATCAGCACTGATTATTGTAACATACTTCACTGAGTTTCATCACACTTACATGCATAATAAAAAAATTAAAAAAACTTGAATCCTGATAAATTAATAGATGACACTATCAAATAAATGGGGTAATCTATTCCAGATGCTATGCAATTGATCTTCCTGAACATTCAAATAACACACTCAACAGCAACTCGACCTTGTAGTTCAAAAACCTAGTCACTCTAGATTAGTACAATTACTGCTGCCATAAATTCCCCTATTGCTACATGAATTCACTCATTTGGGTAGAGTTTATTCGCTACACCTGAGGTAGATCAAAGAACACCCCATGAGAAGATAATTGATAAAATAAAAATAAATTAAATCACTGTACACTCTCGCACTGCATTCACATGTAGCAAGCAAATCTCATTTGTAAGCAAATGTAGGATTACAGTACTGCTCAAAATGTATAGTTAGGTGTACTGCGATCAGAAGTAGCAACACAAATCATGCTACAGCACGTGGCAAAAAATGAGCTGACTCAGACAATTCATCCACATACGTTATACAAAATCCCACTTCCATCAGATGTATTCACGATAAAATTACTAAGAATTAAGACGTAGCGACACCAAATTCCACTGTACTCAAATGTAGCAAAATCAAACTTATTGCTCAAAGTCTTTTTACTTTCTAGCAAATTTTTTTTGACAAAATCTACCTAAAACTAATAACAATACTAACTTTATAAAGCGCCTATATTACTAAACAGAAGTGAAAATCAAAGTCGCTGTATATGTTTAGATGTTAAAAGTGTGAGTTTTAAGTTTGGTCTTAAAAATAGCAACCAAAGCTGCAGTGCATTAACATATTCTAGCTAATCACATGAAAGTAACGTTGGTAAGGGGCTACACCTCCACTGGTGTTAATTAAAGATGATGATAAATATGAGGAAAAAGTATGTAGAGATTCGAACCCACAACCTCGGATACTCTACCAACTATTAGGTATTCTAGCTACAAATCCTAGTCGATCATGTAACCACTATAATTACAATTATTGAACAGAATTACCAAACTTTTAAAAGGTGTATATTTAATACTTTAAGATTACAACAACAGAAATAATAAATCTATTAATCAATAATAAATTAAGGGGGAAAAAATGGTTTACAAAACAGTTTACATCAAGCAAAAATTAGGACACAAAAGTCAATAAAAAACATCAAAGATAGATTTTAAGTAATTTCCGAAAAACGAGATGAGCAGTATTATCGCAAGAATTTCCACAAATTATTGGCTTTAGTTATAAAGCATTATACAGAAATAGAAGCATATACACAACCACTGAGACTGATTAAATTACTAAAATGACAAATATATAAGAATCAGTAAAGTTATTATTTAAGAATAAAAACTTCAAAATACATCAACAGAATATTAGGAATTATTGTACTACAAAACAACAATTTTCGAAATAACAAATATCTCTTGAATGATGATAATTATTCTAAAATTCTTGTAGGTATAACATTTTTTATACCCTATTAATAAAACCACATTGAAAGAACATCAGTTTGATTTGAAAGGATAATTACTTATTTAACTCCAAAATTAAATTTGAATAAAAGATTTTGGCAGTTAACTAACAATGCTGATTTCAGCTGTTAGGACTTCTTGTATGTTATACAGGTATGTATATCTACTGGATATGGGCTGATGATATAAACCACAAAATTTTCACATTAAAAAATAGAAAACAGACATTGTCAGTCGCGTATCTAGCATAGTATGGGGGAAGGGGGGTGGCGAGAAGGTGAAGTGGAAATTTTTGGTAAGTTGAGGGAGCACTAGCTCGCAAAATAAGGCGATTTGAGGTGATTTTTAACTACTTGAGGTTAAATGACCGCTCTGAATAAAATAATAATAATTTTCGGCATATAGACTGTCTCTTATA